CATGTAATATGGAAAATCAGGAAAACTGCAGTTAGGTCTGCAAGAAAGCCACATATCCTTTACCCATCTTGTCTATGGAAATTCTCAATCATCCAGATCAGGAGTCTCCAAACTTGGCAACTTTAAGACTTGTGGACTTCAACTCCCAGAGTTGAAGTTCCTGGATGAGGAATTCTGGGAGTTGAAGTCTACAAGTCTTAAAGTTGCCAAGGTTGGAGACCCCTGATCCAGATCAAGGTTGTCCCAAAGGTACTTTTCCAAAAAGCAACTGGACTTCCTTGGTTTTTTTTTTCTTCTTCTTCTTGAAAACATTTTGCTTCTTGGAAGAGAGGTGAAACATTTTCAAGAAAAAAAAAATCCAAGAAATCCCAATTGTCTTTAGGAAAAACACCTTCAGCCATCTTGGAACCAAGCAAGGAATAAAATTCCCCACTCATGAAAATCTGTCCAATATTTTCATGACTTTAGAAAGAAAGAGAAGAGGGGGAGGGAAAGATCAGAGTTCCTTTGCTTTCGTTTTTTCCTGTTCAAATTGAGAAGATTTTTTTTTAAAGTACAAAATAATCAGCGTTAGTTTGTGTGCATTTTAAGAAGCATGGAGTTGCCACCGGGTTTAAAAAAAAAGACCCCTAGCATTATTTGCTTCCATCATTCTCTGAATGAAATGATTCCAGGCTATGATGTTAGCCAGCTATCAGTGGAAGCCAGTCATGAGGGAGAAAATAGTCAGAAAAAAAATGATGGCATTAGGACAAAAAGTGAATCGTATTTGCCCATTATCAGATTAGAACTATAACTAATAGCAATAGCACTTAGACTTATGCTTCACAGTGCTTTTACAGCCCTCTCTAAGCGGTATACAGAGTCAGCATATTGTCCCCAACAATCTGGGTCCTCATTTTACCAACCTCAGAAAGATGGAAGGCTGAGTCAACCTTGAGCCGGTGGGACTTGAACTGCCAAACTGCTGGCAATCAGCAGAAGTAGCCTGCAGTACTGCCCTCTAACCACTACACCACCACGGCTCTAACTAAGCATACAGCTGCTGTTTTGCTGGTAGCCCTGTGATTCCTATACTGCATAGCTTCATTCTAAACCACTACTGCAGACTCAGCTCAAACCATTTTCCTAATTTATCAGTAGCTGATGCTCTGATTTCAAATTAAGAATGACGGAGACAATACCTATCGGGATACAGGTAGTCCTTGAGTTACGACTATAATAGTCAGAGTCCTAACCAATGATGGTCATCAATGGGCCAGTTATGTGACCAACTCGCTTTTATCATCTTTTTTTACAGCGGACGTTAAGCTAATTACCATGGTCATTAAGCGAATCTGTGGTCATGAAGTTAATGCCATGATTAAATGAAACAATAGTTTGCAGTGGGCGAGATTTTGCTGCAAACTGCAAGTAAACAATAGTTTTCAGCAAAATCATTGTAAAATGTGGCCTTTTGATTGTGGGATGCTGCAGACGGCTGTGAATGCAGCCTAGTTTACTGAGGAGATCAAAATGTGGTCATACGACCATGGGGGGGGGGAGCTGACCATAGGAACTTTAAATCTGGGTTGTAACCACCTGCCACCCCAAGTAGGTCCATCAGAACTTTGAACAATTGCTAAGCAACAGGTCATAAATTGAGAACTACCTGTATTATTGGCAGCTGTGGATTTGCAACATAAATAGGTTCAGGGATGGCCCATGTTATTGTGGTGCCTGATGCAGAACATTAAATGGAATAGCTAGTACAATAGAAAACAGAAACAAAATTATCCTGATTAAAGAAATCGGTTGAAAATAACAAGAAGAAACAGAATAGGGACAAGTGCAAAATGCCTCACTTCACTTAGAACAGCATTCCTCAACTTTGGCAACTTTCACATGTGTGGAATTCAACAACCAGAAATCCTCAGTCTTCATGCTGATTGGGGAATCCTGGGAATTGAAGTCCACACATCTTAAAAGTTATCAAGGTTGAGAAGTTAGGGAAAAAATTATCAAATGGGGACACATGGAAAAGATCTTAGAGTTGACACAAAAAAAATGCAAAAATAAGTTTAGGCTGCATCAATAGAAGTATAATTTCTAAGTTACAGGGAGGAAATTTCTCCTTTATTACACCGGAGTCAGACCTTGCATCAAATACTCTATTCAGTTCTGGGCGCCACATTCTAAGAAGGAATCATTCAGAAAAACACATACAAAGAATGAAAATAAGGATGATTAGGAGCCTGGAAACTAAACACTAGAAGGAAAAACAGTAATGTTTAACCCTAAAAATAAACGAGGAAGGGGATTGTAACAGCACTTTTTAAGTTCCTGAAGGCATGCCACAGGGAAGAAAGTTACACCTACTCTATTTAAACAGAAGATGGGACACACATCGTGCTCATAACAAAGATTTTATTTGAATGTTAGGAAAGAAAAGCTGTAGAGTAAGAGTAAGTTGATAGTAGTCAAGGAAATTGGTGAATTCATGCAAGCTTCTTTCGACATTTTTGAAAAGGATGCCATAATCAGGGTTCCAACATTAAGGAGAGTTTTAGACTCAATTCTCATAGAACCTCTTCCAACTATAGTTCTAGAAGTGGCAGTTTATAGAATTCATCAAAGTCAAACTGCGGAGTAACTAAAAGCAACTAAATTATTTTGGCCCATGAGTTGAAAATGCTTACAAGACCCCCTCATCCCTGAAAGTAAAAATAAATAAATGTAATGATAAAGAAAATAAGGAATACATGGAAGCTCTTTAAAATTTGATTGATTTCAAAATGGTAAGGCTGGACTTCAATGAATTAAGAGGAACCAACAAAGCAATTTTTAAGCTCTTCCTTTGTTTGACACTAAAATCATAGCACACAGCCACTTGATCACTTGGTCCCACTTGCTACATTGCAGTTAGCTATGCATGCATTTTTTAAAAGGTTTGCTTTAAACAGACAACCACTAACAGCTTTTAAATACATCACAGAGAGAAAAAAGTAAGCAATAAGTTCAATAATAAATGATAGTAAACAAAGCAAAATGAAACAGCCTAGAAAATAACAAAAACAAAGAAATAAAAAAGTTAATAAGGATTTATTCCCTTGTTTATTAAACTTGTATGCCACTCATCTCACTGTTGAAGCGAATATTTGTTGTTCAATATTTGTTGTATTATTCTTACCCGAGATCCTACAGAACTAATTTATCCTACCTTAATCTGCTGAATACAACTTTCTGTAAAGAAAATTAACTATTGTATAGATTTAAGAATGTCATAATATTTTTCTAATTACATAATTGATGTAGGAATTTCAGAAGTAATTAAGACATCAGGACCAACTTGTACAATTAAGGGATGATATTCAAGTTTAAATAACAATTTAAAATTTATCCCACAGTATTATTAGAAAGTCAGTTAGAGCGGCGTGGTGGCCTAGAAGTGGAACTCTCACCTCATAATCAGGAGGCTGTGAATTCTATCCTAGGTAGTGGCAAATTATTTCTCTCTCTGGGAGCAATGAGAAAATATCTACTGTGAGTTCTGAATAGGCGTCAGGAAGGGCATCCGGCCAGTAAATGCTCAACTCCATTCAGTCACCCTGACTCCACTCCGATGCAAGAGATTACAGGGCTGTTAAAAGGGGGGAAAAACAGAAAGTCAGTTCACATGTGGATAATATAGACATGATTTAATTGCCTATATTGCCATTGAGCAGCCTTAGAAATTCTAGTTTTGAAGAACTGAACAATACTGTAAATTGATTTAAAACAGGTGGGGGAAGACTGCCTGAATCTACCATAAATGACTCTCTTGTGTGTGTATTTATACATAAATATTTTCCCTGCTGTACGTTACGCACTTGCTCTTTTGCATGTAATAAGCATCCTTGACCAAGATTACCAAGTCAGTGTATTTTAATAGCATGCTTGGTTCAAGTCTTCTGTTAATATTCCTTTACACTTCAGTTGCAGACACAACTTTTAAAATATCCCAATACTAACTATCCTGTCTTAGAAGAAAGGCTCATCAAACTTAATAGAACTTTTGACCAAATAAAAGGATCACTCCAACCTTATTTTAAAAAAAAACTTCTACATTTGATTAGAAATAACCACTGTTGAATTTGATGAACCTTACACCCAACTAAACACAATCCTAGGATGCCAAAGTTAGGGAAAAGCAATGTTATTTGAGATGGGCTTTAAATTAGTTATCTGCAATGGATTGGAATCAGGCTTAGTTTTAAAATAGATTTGTGGGAATTAGCGGGACAAGTTATTGATGAATAACTCTAAGCTCCAAAGATTTAATAGATGTATTATTGTAGGATATCCATTCATAATTTATAGGACCTGTTTATTTTAAAAAGTTACATTTTCCGTACTTTGGAGTGTCTTTAACTGAACGAAAAGTAGAATAAGGGAGAAAATGAAAGATTAACTCCCAATGGCTTCATTGAGAGAGGTAGGGCTATATTTAATTCTTCTCTTAAACAGATGGAACTGAAAAGAGCTTTGACTGAAACTTTTGCCACTGAAATACACAGAAAATGTGAATGTTTTCAAAAAATCCTGGGCCTCTGTAGACAGTATCAGTATGATACTGTACCCATATTCACAAGCTCGTTTGTAAGCAAGCATTTATCTCAGATTCTTACTGATTTTACATTTTTAGAAAGATAGAAAACAAACGTATAAGGACCGATTGCTTAGGAAACTGGGCAACAGAGACAAATTTGCATTTATTACAGAGTCTTTTATTAAATTTTAGCATAAATCAAATTCCCAGGTTGATATTTGAGAGCTTTATTTTTTTGTTGTTGTTGTTTTAAAAAAAGACAAATTGCATTATTATTTTTTATTATTACTATGATTATCACATAGCACAATAATGCAGATGTCTACCTACAGAAATTTTTGGTGTTTGCTGTGTATCATCTTCCCGAGGAATAGATTCATGGTAACGCTTCTTTTTCTTCCCTCTTTCCCTCTTCTTTTTTCTTGCTTCCCAGCTGACCTTTTCTGAAGCCATACGAAACAAAGCCAGATTATCAATCACAGGAAGCATGGGAGAAAACGGTCGCGTTCTCACTCCGGATTGCCCAAAGGCCGTACACGCTGGAACTGCAATTAGACAAAGTTCAGGATTGGCGGTAATTGAATCAGATCTACCATAAAAACCAAAAAAATAATCGAGTGCCTTAATTAACCTGTGTCAGTGACGGACGGGAATACAGCACGGACTGTAAACATGACACGGGAAATGTCCTTGATGAACTTAGAAACAGGCTGAGTATGGGAAGGGCATCAAAACGTGTCGTCAGCAGCCAATGCGTGCATGGTCTCAGTTCGGAAGCCCAAACTCAGATTTTATATCAGGAAAAAGCTTGTGTGTATGTATGTCTGTCTGTCTGTATAGATATGTGATATATATGCATATATATCTATATATCTATATGCATATATGTGCATATATATGTATATGTGTATATACATTTATATGCATATATATACACATACACACATACATACATCTATATAGATATATATAAAATTCATAATTTAGTTTTGTGGGGGGGAGGGGTTGGGAAAGAAATATGAACCGCAAGAGATTTCTCTCACAAGGACTTGCCAATTTAGCGCATTAAAACTATGAGGAACAGACTTAAGGAAAGGCCGTGGAGTCTTTCTGTCAGCAAAGTGGGGAGCCAGTGGCTGTAGAAATCAATGAACATGTTAACCTGTGTCTCCAGATGAACAACATTATACAATGGGAAGAATATCCAGCTGTGGAAACAAAAGTTTGACTAAACTGTGAGAAGGAAAAAAAAAAAAAACACATGTAAATCCTGTGAAAAAAAAAATTAAAAATACGTTTTTTTTTCTTTGGGAACAAAAAAAAAAGAGGAATATTGAAACATGCTTGCTTTTTAATGGATGTAAATTCAGTAGTGGAGAACACAATTCTTTTTTCTAACCATCTTAGGGAACAATTCATTGCAATAACTGATATAAAATGGCATCACTGTAATAAATTTCAAAGACTTTTTTTTTTACATTGTTGGCCTTCCTCTCATTTGCTGTTACCGTCATTCTGTTCCATCATTCAGTGTTCGACGGATTTGCATCTGTCTAACTACAAGAAACCAACAAATGCGTTTAGAGAACACCATCAGTCTGCCGTGTAGAATCAAAGAGACTACGGGTCACTCATGTTACCGATATTATTTATAATCTTGTTCTGTGTATAAAAAAAAAAAAACTGTGGTTTTTGTACCCACCAAAAAGGAATAAAATAACAACTGTTCTTTTAACACCTGGAGTGGTTTTTCTGATACGAGGAACGCAGTTCGCAGAGTTAAGACAAGTTATATTAGCACCAAGTTGTGTATCAATGACATGAAGTATGATGAGTATTTTTTTAAGGATGGAAAAAGCGTAACGTCTTTGAACTTCGCCATTGATTCAGTCCAACACAAGTAAACATACTGATACCAAATATGAACTTTAAGGCATGTATATATGTAGACTGCTCAAGAGAAGCTAAGCTGTGACAAGAAAAAATATAATTTTATACCTTGCATTCATTATAAAAATTAAACAGATGTTATTCTGCATTTTATTTTACCCATTGCATCCCATTGTTTATTGAGAGAACTACAAGGAACTTTATTTAATTTTAAAATTCCACTATGATCAGGAAAAGGTGTCTTCAACTATTTCTTTGACTGCCGAGCTTTCACTGGATCATAGTTTTGTAATCGGTTTATGTTTTGAAACTATTGTTCAGTGTTTTTTGTTGTTGTTGTTTGGCACTTTTGCAGGATTCAAGTATGTGAATAGAGGATTATCAGTCAGAAAGTCAGAAATGTATAAATACTTACTGTTAGCAGCTGGGAGCTGTTATGAATCTGGATCTGGACTTATGTGACATATTCATAATTCAATTCCTTTATTGCTTTCTCACCAAAGCTCCAGAAAATAATCATTATCACTTGAACAACTGTTAAATTAAAATGTGGAATCTGAATTTGAAAAAAGGGATAAAGGTTAGTGATATCATCCATTGCTAGCCAACCAATATCCTATTCGCAATTATATTCTGGAACCTCTGACCTAGTTTTCCTTATTCTCGCTGGATTCAACTGCACATTTATGTATATTTGTATGCATACAATTTTTGTTTTTCATTGATGGTAATTTTCTCTTTCTCAACAGAGGCCTAGATAAAGCTTTCCAAAACAAAATTCAGAAATAATCTATATCTTGCTTCTCTCTCTCTCTCTCTCTTTTTCTTCTTCTTCTTTAAGTTAAGGATTTTTATTTTTTTATTTACAATCTTTTGTAAACTGTCTCAGTTCTAACAGATAGTTTACAACAAAGCAGAAGTAAACACATTGAAAGAATATAAAAACAAAGATTTACGAATCAGACTAAGATAACAGTAATACCTATGATGATTCCTACACTCAATTCAGGTGAAAAGCATACTGGAACAGCAATTTCTACAGCCTTGCAAAATGCAAGAAGAGATACAACCGAATTTAATCCAGAGGCAGGGCGTTCCGTAGGATCAATCTTCAACTAAAAAAAATCCTTTTGCCTAATTCAGACATCATGTACTCTGTAAGAACAAAGGAGATGCTCATTCTCCTCTAATAATAAATTATTAATTTAACTCATTAATATGGCCACCCATTTCACTGATGTGACTCTGAGCAGCTAATAGCATATTAAAGACAATATGAAGAAATCCCATTGGCCAAAGTAGATGGTCAAACTAGATAGATTGAATTTTTGTCAAGGCAATATTGAATGTCTCCCAGAGCTGTGTGCCTATAGGGCTTGAAAGATAATAATCAGGTCTTGCATTGGGCCTGGAAGGCAAAGAGTACAGTAACAGTAAAATTAGGGTTTTGGTGAAGTTCTCCTAACAATAATCTGTCCACCATATTCTGTATATGCTGCAGCTTCCCAATCATTTCCAAAGAGTCCCACATAGAATGCATTATGGTTGTTCAACTAACATGGGATATTGGATGGAGATTCTTGCACTAGAAAGAAGATTGATTGATTAAAACAGGGATGGTTAGATCTGGCCCACAGGGCCACCCTGGAAACAGCAAAGGACTGGCCCACGGTGCCTCTGCCAGCAAAAACAGAGCTCGTGAGGGCTCTGTGTTTGCTGGCAGAGCACTGCAGGAGACTGTTGCAGCCGAAAACGAAGCCTGGGAGGGCCACACGTCCTCACAAGCTCCATTTTCGCTGGCAGAGTGCTAGCAAAACAAACTACTAGCAAAAGTGGCATTCGATCACATGAGTGAGGTTGAGTTGGCCACGCCCAACCTGCTCCTCGCCCCTCCCCCACGAGGTCAAACACAACCCTGATGCAGCCCTCAATGAAATCAAGTTTGACACTCCTGGATTAAAAGGACTCAATGTCCTTTCAGTCTCAAAGAAAGCACTGTGAAGTTAAGGGGTTACAAATTAAACTTCCTGTGAAAGGAAAGGTAAAATGTGTTTGGCGCTTTTACTAAACATGGCAAAAAACTAGAAAATGACCTGCCAAAATAATGGAAGTTGACATCTAAATTCTGGCGCTTAGCTTAAAATTTTTCACTGAGAATCATGAACCAAAATTTCCACAAGATCAACCTCATGCTCTGTAGCCAAATTGGGAAGCGGGAGTATCTCACTTGTTCTTAAAATGGATCCCAATCAAGAGCACATCCATTTCGGCAATGGAGTGTCAAATATAAGCAGGATGGCTCATTCAGCAAACTATATCACACCGTTTTCAGTGATATCTTTGTTTTTCTCATGAGGTGTGGTGTTTCTCCTGAAAACACCTAATATTCCCAATTACTGTGGGAATTTTACTAATACAATTTTCTTTAGGTGAAATCAGTGCTGAGTCAACAAAAAAAGACTCGGAAGCAGAAATGTAAAATTTAAAAGATAGTAATGAATTTATAAAGATATCCTTACAAGAGCAAAGGCTAATGTTCATTGATTTATTCCTCTTTGTAGAATTTGGCCGCTACAACACCCTTTTAAATAAGTTTTTTTTCCTACGCAATTGAAGAGATACATTTTCTAGATATGCATTACAATGGGAAAAATATTTAGGGAAGAAATAAAAAAAAATATTCCCGAATATTTAAGGAAGGAGAAAAGCTGCAAGCAGAATAAATAATTAGGCAGCTCATCCACCACTATTTCACTGCATGTGCAGTGCAAATTGTTATACTCCCTCTTACAGTGTCTGAGGCTGCTTGCACTGCAACGCTTACCATTAGTTGCAGATTAGCAAACATCAAGAAAGTTTGAAACAGAAGCAAGCACTAGCCCCATGATTTTATATTTCTACCTTGTAAAAAATATATTTACGTTACCATCTTCCCTGTCTTTTGTCTTCTTTACAGTATGCTATTCCTCAGCTTTCCTATATTCTCTATAGTGCAACTTACACCCATAGTTAGCAATTACGTTAACTTTGATGCAATATTAATAGTGTTCTGAGATTCTCTGTAGCACAAGCCTGCTATAGCTTAGAAATATTAATTGATGCATGAAGTCATCTTAAAAAAAAACATTAATTCAGTAATTAAACAATGCAATCAATTCTAGACAATGAGAGAGGTGTTACAGAATCGGAACAGCCAACTAATAAATTTATATATCAATCATTGAAAGATAGCTTGTTCTGCTGTGATAAATTTCCTTACCTGTCTACTTGCTGCAACATTTAGTAGCTTTTATCCCTGTATTTTATGTTGAGTTTTCCAGTCACTTCTCCACACTGTTTTCAGATATGCATTAACTTTCTGCATGTCCTCATAATGTTTGTTTGTTTGTTTGTCAACAAGTACAAGGAAACAAGTAACAATATAGACATAGACATGAAAAAAATTGGCACAAATAAAAGGATATAAATAGGCAAAACATAGCCATAAACACATAGAACAATTACATATAAATGGGGACAGTAGGTCAGGGATGGTAGGGACGCTGATGCGCTTATGCACGCCCCCTTAGGGACCTCTTAAAAAACATGAAATGTCCACGGTAGACAGTTTAAGGTAAAAGGTATGGGGATTTGCAATGTTATCCAGGAGTGGCATTTTTCACCAGCTTCCCTCTAGCACATAGATAGGCAACCCATGATATGCAAGTTACCTGCCGTTAAGAATCATTTAACATATGGTAGATATAAATAAAATTGTTGGGCCAGATTTTGGACTTAAAGTATCATGGAGATTAATGCCCAAATGTTCCTTCTTAACACTTCCAAACCTCTCACTGAGCTTAAAAGTCATGTTTCAAAACCAAAAATAAATACCCAGTGCCTCCCAAAGAGCAACAAAATAATAATAATTGGGCTCTGTCCATTCGAAGTGAAATTAAAAAAATGCAGCCCCCAACCACACCTTCTATAGCTTGTAGAGATTAACCTGTGAATGTCTAATGAAGGAACATGCAGGATAAAGGACAGTGATTCAACGTAAGTGTTACCACGGAAGTGGGTAGCTTGAGCAGATGGCTTTTTACAACATTTCTAGAGAGATATGAAACATTTTAGGTCAAACAGATAAAAACTTAATTACAGTCGTAGGCTAAAATACAAGGGAATAACTGGCCCCAATTTACAAAACAAATACCGTACACTAAAACAAAATTATGAGCATCTGGCATAAGCACAACCATAGTTCTGTTTGGTGATAAATTTGGGTTTACAGTGATACCTTCGTACTCGTTATTTGTTTCCAAGAAGAATCTTTCCCATAAGGAATAATGTAGTGAGACACAAGGCACCCAACACCAACAATTTCTAGCTTGTGCATTCAGTACCAAACAAACAGTGAGTACCAGGACAAAATTTCCACATCAAAATGTGTTGGGTACCAAAATGTGATGAGTTTCAAAGCAGTTGAATACCAAGGTACCACCGTATTAGGATAATTATAGGAATATAATCAGTGGTGAAATGCTCCCGGTTCAGACAGGATCATCCGATCCGGTAGCGATGGAGGCGGGTGGTTTGAAGAACCGGTAGCAAAAATCCCTGCCCAACCCCCCATGCCCACCTGAGCCGCACAATCATCAGAGGCCTTTTTTTTACTTTTTAAAAGCATTTTTTCTACAACCTCTTCGGCCAAAAAATGTTTTTAAAAGTAAAAAAAAAAAGCCTCTGATGATTGCGCAGCTCAGCTGGGATTGTCAAAGGCTTTTAAAAGAAAAAAACCCTTTTTTTTCTTTTAAATGCCTCTGACGATCCAAGCTGAGTTGCCTGATCAGCAGAGGTTTTTTAAAA